CAAAATATAAAGCAAATTCTATCATATATAAGAATATATATATATATATATTCTTTTCCCTTCTTTCTTTTCTCCTATGAATGCAACTTGAGAGCATAATCATAGGTGAACTAAATCATACTCACATGTGTAAACATTGTATCATCTCCCTAGTGTAAAAACTGAAAGAGTAAATAAAATCTGAAATGTACAACAGATATTATGAAAAGGGAAGAAACTGTTCAAAAAGAAAGAACTGGGATGGGTGAAAGGAGAAAAGTTTTGTTGCCTTATGATACAAATGTGTTATTTATATAATACAGAATCTTTTAAATGAGTTGGGATTTTTGGAGCTCAGTAAGTAAACTTGAAAAGAACATATTTATTTTATTGATTAGCTTCAGAATGTTAGCTATAGATATTGTCTAACTACCCTCAGGACATTGTTAAATGTATTTAATCTTCCAATTCAAAATATCCATTTGAAATAAAAAGTTGCAAGGAATTTATGAAACCATGAATATGTAAAAAGTACTTCAATTTTCAAAATGCCATTTGAAATTCATGAATTAACATAAATCTGGAAATTGATTATGCTCGTACAATATAATGCAATAACCTTATCCTACAAATAAGGCTGTTTTATAACATGTAGCTTTTTCAAACTGTCCTTAGATAATGATCAAGTTCAATATTTTACTACTTTTATAATTAAAATGGTTTTATTTAGTTTGCTTTGTCTTCATCTCAGCAAATCAGAGATAACACGTATCAGCCCAAGTTTGTTAACTCTATCTTTCAGATATTCTCTACTGTTATTCTTCTGCATATTATATTACTTTCAGAGAAGTACAGCACTTTTGACACCACATTTCAGTACTGTCCATATTTCATTTGCAATGATTATGGAATCTAAGTTCTCTCTGAGGCATGCAAAACTCACTCTTGTTTTGTTTTGTTTGTTTTGTTTTAGGACTATCTCGGTCAAGTATTGGTAAGTTCCTGTGTTATACAATTACTCCATTATCCCATCAATTTCATGGATCAGTTTTTTATTAGTTTTGGTATTCACTGTTTTTCCCCTCATATGTAGGCTCTATACTTCCATTCAGTCTTCTTTGAAGGTTCTGCTGTTGCTTAAAACTCAATTTCTAACGCTGGTCTGCTGCAATTGGGTCACTTCCCGGCATACCCTGACCAACAGAAAGGGTTAATGGTGCCACTTTAACCATTTTATTTTCTTTTGTGAGCCTTAGATTTACACAAGAAGACTAGTTCCAGGTTCTTAACAATACAGGAGACATGGCACTTGATTTATGCTGATGGTCAGGTGTCAAAAACACAGCCTCCAAAAAAGACATTCAAGTGGGTAGTTAAACTTCCACCAACAAGATTACAGGGTGGTATACTGCTCTTGAAAACTTCTCTTTCTAGTTCTCAAACTTACATCTCCACTTTAATACTTAAAAATATATACTACATCCAATTATTCCAATTAATTAGCAGGGGTAACATAGCCATCTTGATAGCAACACTACTTTCCCTCAATTGACTGTTTCTCTTTTAATGAATGATCAAGAACTTCCTGATTTTGCTCTCTTGCTACCCAGCATCCCCACAGGTCATAAGTGACCTTTGGAAAGTGGAAACCCCTTGTAAAAGCAGTCATTTAGTAATAACTTGATGTAACAAAGAACTTTTCAAAGGAGAAAACAAGGAAGAAATTTAAAGAAAAGAAGGAAGAGGAGCAAAGGTATAGGGAAGAAAAGAAAAAGAGTAGAAAAAATTAAACAAGCTATAGAGACAGAAAAAATTTTCAGGGACTGAGAATTTAGTAGTCTTCCAAAACATTTTTATTCTCCTACTCAAAGAAATTAAGACATGTGGCATAGATCTTACAATCCTACTCTATCACAAGAGTATAACTTGAAAAACATACAAATGTCTGAAGTTTATACCTGAATGCAAATAATTAGTAGTTGTCCAGGAGCATAGCACATTACCTTGCAGCTGATAACAGAAAGAAGGAGGTATGATTCGCTTCTTCCCTCTTTCTCACACCTTTGCTGCAATGCAATGCCTCTGGAATCCAAGTTCTCCTGGAGACTTGTGGAACTCACTCTTCCTTTGTTTTTGTTTTCTTTTAGCACTATCTCGATCAAATACTGGTAAGTTCCTTTACTTTTCTTCACTGAGCATTTTATCTGAAGTTAATGAGAACCCAGTAATTAATAAAAGTGTAGAGAATTAAAATGCTTTTTGCTGCCAGTGATGGTTTTGTCAAAACAATAACTTTTTAAACTTAGAAAAAGAAAGAAAGCAGGTTGTGAAGTGGGCAGGCAGTAGGGGACAAAGGTAGCGCTGTAGTTAACGAAAGTTATTTTTACTGAGTCCATACATCTAGGCATTTGAGATGAGAGAGTGAAATTTGAAGAAATTATTCAACTTGGCCAAGGATGTATAGATATAAGAGGGTAAAACGGAAACTCCAAGCCTAATTTTCTTTTTCACTCCAAATCCACTGCTTATCTAACTACCCCCAGGACATTGTTAAATGTATTTAATCTTCCAACTCAAAATATCCTTTTGAAATAAAAGGTTTCAAGGAATTTATGAAATCATGAATATGTAAAAAACACTTCAGTTTTTAAAATATCATTTAAAACTCATGAATTAACATAAATCTAGAAATTGATTATGCTTGTTCAATATTGTGCCACAACCTTATCCTTTAAAAAGTCTGTTTTATAACATGTAGCTTTTAAAAACCATCCTTAGGTAATGATCAAGTTCAATATTTTGCTACTTTTATAATTAAAATGGTTTTTATTTGCTTTGTCTTCATCTCAGTGTCAGAGAAAATGTAACTTCCAACAAAAACAAATTAAAATATTGTAAGATTGAAATATGCTATGTAATAAACTTAGTCTTCAAGTTCTCCTGCCAGGGCCGAGGATATAGCTCAGTGGCACAAACACTTGCCTGGCAAGCGCAGGTCCTGAGTTTGATTCCTTATCCCAAAAAAAAGTTTTCTTGCCAAGTTTTCAGGGGACAGGCTTGCCATAAAAGTCCTCCAAAAAGAAACTAATTCAGTGAATCACAACTGCTATGGCTAAGATAATATAACTTAGTTTCAGGTTTATCTGAAAATTAGAACAATTTCTCATTTACACTGTAGGAATTAGCAACATTGCAAATGTACTTATACAACTGAACTGTATACTTTAAAGTGAACAAAATCGTTAACTTTATGAATATATATACTGAAAACCAAAGAGATTTTAAAAATAAGAAAAAACAGGAAATTCTATGGCTTTAAAAATAACAAAGACAGGGGTAAAAAGCAAAGCACACTGGGAGTCAAATGACAAGTGTTAACCCCTTGTCTGTCTCTGACTTGTTTTGTGCAGAGACAATTCATGATTTCTAGGTCTTTTGCTGGAAATATTTATAAATTGACCTAGGTCATCTAAGTCCCGTACAACTTTGACATTTTCTAGTTCTAGCTGACATTTTCTAGTTCTGGCTACAATAATTATAAATATTCTTGTTTACCAGAAAAAGAGGTGAATTTTTTAGTCTAATAGGAAGAGAAGGTAGGGAAAAAAATATGAAAAAGTTGGAAGGAAGGAAAATGAAACAATACTGGCACGTTATTTGTTCAGTTATCTGGCACATATGGAGGCCTACCATGTGCCAGGCATTATTTTGCATGCTGTGTCAACAAGATAGACATGGTCCCTGATTCACAGCACAGATTTAGTGAGCTAAGACAGAAACTAAGTCTGTAGAAAATAAATAAAACCGTTTCAGATTGCAGCAAATTATATGGAGAAAATAAATTAGGATGTGACAGAAGAAGACTGGGAGTGTGGATATGTAGCGAAGACATTAGGGAAAAAAAAATGTCTTTGAAGTGCTATTTAGACTGAACCATGTGTGGTGAAAAGCTGGCAGCTACAGGCAAACCTTAGAGGAGGATATCCCAGGCAGAAAGAAACCAACCTCCTGAAACAAAAGGGATTAGGAAGAAGTTATTGCTCGCTTCTCATCTAAAGTATGGAGTATTTCTTCATGAATTGAGAGTAGTGTAAGAAGACCTATCCAAAAACACTGTGAGCCAGATGCAGTGGCACGTGCTTATAATCCCAACACTCAGGAGGCTGAGTTTAGATCTTGAGTTTGAGACCAGCCTGAGCTGTATGAGTTCAGTGTTGGCCTGAACTACATAGTAAGACCCTGTCTCAAAAATAAAAACAAAACAGAAACGCTTTAAATATAAATTTGCCTATTAGAAAGAAAAACCACAAACTTAGAAAAACTTTAGCCAACTGTCCCTCAAAGGACTTCCATCTAGAAAATATAAAGAACTGAAAAAAATCAGTTCCCCCAAATTCAAAGATCCAGTCCAAAAGTGGGCACCTGAGATGAATACACACTTCTCAGGTGAAGGAATACAAACGGCAAATAAATATATGAAAAAATGTTCAGCATCATTGGTCATTCAAGAGATGCAAATTAAAACAACACTGGGATTCCATCTCACCCCAGAAATAATGGCTGTAATAGAGAAATCAACCAATAGTAAGTGCTGGCGAGGCTGTGGAAAACAAGGAACCTTCTCCACTGTTGGTAAGAATGTAGACTGGTACAACCACTGTAGAAATCAGTGTAGAGAGTCCTCAAAAAAACTAGGATTAGAGGTTCATTTGACCCAACTATTCCCCTTCTGGGTATTTTCCCAGAAGAATTAAAAACATTATACCACGGGGCTGGGGGTTTAGCTCAGCGGCAAAAGCGCCTGCCTGGCAAGCGCAAGGTCGTGAGTTCGGTTCCCGGTACCGGAGAAAAACCAAAAAAATAAAAATAAAAAAATAAAAACATTATATACTAATAACAATTTGTAATAGGCAAATTTTGGAAAAAAACCAAATGCTGGTCAACTGAGGAACAGGTTAAAAAGATGTAGTATTTTTATACAATGGAGTATTACTCAGCTAAAAGAAAGACAAACTCAGGGCTTTTATAGGTAAATGGATGCAACTAGAGACCATACTCATAAGTGAAATAAATCCAACTCACATGTGTAAACATCATATTGTCTCCCTAGTGTAAGAAACTTAAAGAGTAAATAAAATCCAAAATACACAATAGATATTGTAAAAGTGAAAGAAACTGCTCAAAAGGAAAGAACAACTGGGATGGGAGAAGAAAAAACTATATACATATATACACAAGATAGCTAAGATAACTATACTACTAACTTCTATTCGTTCATTGGAAGGAGTGGTTTGTGTTTATAGTGTTTGTTCAGTTTTGCATGCCTATATCTAGTATTCTGAGTAACTACTTCGAAGATAAAAATATGCAATATAACAACCATTGTTAATTTCCTATTATCTTGTTTTGAAATTCTGTGTTGTTGTTTTATTGTTCTTTCTCTTTAAAATAAAAAACAGGAGATATAATTTCCATGGTAAAGATAGAAAATTAATGTTCAAAAGATTTAGTAAATTGTCCAAAGTCACAGAGATAGAGAACAGCAAAAATGGGACTTGGGTGTTTAACCTCAAAACTATGTGTACCTCACTCCTGGGGAAGAGGTGCCTCCAGGTATTCCACAGTCTAAATTATAAGATTATATTTGTCAATCTTTATTATAGGTGAGGCACAGCATTTAAAAGCAACTCAACCTCTATGTAAGTATTTACAACTTAATTATTCTTTTGATCTTCTACAAAGCGCCTCCCATTGGGAGGCTGGGAAAGTGATGAAAAGCAGACAGACAGACGGAGAAAAGGAAAAAAGGTTGCTATGTTACAGTTTTCTCCCCCTTTCTTTGCCCTTGAGGTTAGTTTCAAGATTCCCTAAGTAACTAACTTCTTTACATTGCAAAGGAGAAACTATTAAAAATGAAATTAACTCATTAAAGCATAAAGGACAAATTCTGAGACTACAGAGAGTAATTTATGAAAACCAAATTTGTGAAGGAAGGGAAAAGAAAAAAAGGATAAAAGGATAAAATGGAAACAAAGCTTAAATAAGGAGGGGAAGAAGAGCTGAAGTGAGGGGAAGGGGTTGGGGGAAAAAAGGAATCAAGATACATTATATACAGATATAAATTCCCTATGATGGATGTGATTGTTATGTATATCTAAATTGTACCAATAAACTTAATTTTGTTTTGTTTTGTTTTGTTTTGTTTTGTTTTTGTTTTTCTTCTGGTACCGGGAATCGAACTCACGACCTTGCCCTTGCCAGGCAGGCGCTGTGCCGCTGAGCTAAATCTCCAGCCCCAATAAACTTAATTTTTAAAATAAACAAATGTGTAGAAATATTTGACAGAATACATGAACACTGAGAACAAGAAACATAACTGCAAGGAATATGACAATATCAGTTACCAAAAGAACAAAAAGAAAATCCAATTACCACTTTACTGACTTTCCATGTAAATTTAAAATGTGATAAATGCTTGATATGGAGCACTGAAATGAATGTCCAGACTTAATTTTTGTGTTTGCATTTTAGCCAGCACTCCAGGATCTATCAGTAAGTTTTTTTTTTCTGTGCTTTAATTTTCATGTGTTTTGCTTTATAACATTTGTAGAATATGTAAGGTATTCATATTCATAACTTTTTTATTTGCTCCTGCATAGATTGACAGTCCTGTCCCCTTCTTCATTCCCTGCTCTTACTTTAATAAACTATGCTGCCTCTATAAGAAAGTACTATCAAAACCCGGGCATGGTGGTGCATGCCTGTAATCCCAGCACTTGTGAGGCTGAGGCAAGAGGATCGTTGGGAGTTCAAGACCAGCCTGGGCTACAAAGTGAGCTCAAGGCCAGCCTGAACTGCATAGCAAGACCCTGTCTCAAAAAAAATAAAAATAAAAATAAAAAATAAATAAAAATAAATAAAAAAAAGATAGTACTATCACATAATATTTCCAAAATCTTGAAGTTCAATAGCAAAGGGAAAAGTGCTAAGGACGCAAATGGTTAAGAGAAAGGTAGGAAAGTTCCCCTGCTTGAAACCCCAGTAACACTCAGATGAAGAAAACATGATGGCCATTCCACTGCCAAGAGTTTCAGTGGCATGCAAAGAGGCCCAAACTGTCTTTAATCTCACCCCACTGTGGGATCCGTGCAGCTCCACCTGCCACGTCCCAGCCAGCAGCAGCTAGGGCCCCCTAAGCTGTAAGTATTGAAGTATTTATAAACTTCATTTCTTCCTCCATTAAAGTGGACACTTTGCTCATGGTAGCTATATTCCTAATGTTTTCCTAGAAAGAATGCCAATGCAAACTGTATTTTCCTATGTAAAGAAATATTCTAATTAATTCTGTTTTTTCAATATTTTAGCTGGAGCTATTGGACCTATAAGTGAGTTCCTCTTATTGTTTTCTCATTTGTATACTCTTTAGCCTTCTGTAGGGTCTGGCACCCTCTCTGGATTTACTTCTTTCCATCCCTATACTTAGGGATTTCCCACTCATATCTTTTGATTGCACTCAAATCTGAAATCACCTGATGCCAGGACATAGGGCAAAATGCCCTCAACTGTCCCTAAGTTGAAGAAAGGGAAATGTTAAATAATTCATATTGAAATTTCTTTCATTTTATTTGTATTATTTATATTTTTAATTACTTAAATTTCTCCGTTAAGATGGATGCTGCCTGACTTGATCTGATAGGAGCAGTATGAGGCTCCCCGCTAAAATTATCAATAGTCTTTGTACTAGTTGTTCTTCCTCTGGCAGAGTTACTTCATAGTTTCTTTAGAAAGAACACTGGTAGCATGGGAATTCTGTTAATGTCAAGCCAGATTGATTTTCCTCCATTTTTATATTTCAGTGCAATTCTCAGCACCTATCCGTAAGTATCAAATTTGCTTCTCCACTCTGGTCCCTTTGATATCGGACCTACAAGGTCTTGGGGATTGATCTGCCTGACCTACTTTCTTAACACTGCGTTTTGCACTCCTCTAGCATTCCTATTATACAGTTTCCACAGAGGCTGTGCATGAAGTAGAGTGACCACAAATCCCACAGGTTGACATGAAAAAAAGCAGAAAACAAGATCAAAGTGTCCTGTTAGAGGCACTCATAATGACCCAGCAGCAAGGGAAGGCATACTTTCAAACCACAAGTCTCTCAGGAAATGACAGAAAATGTAAGAAGAAAAATATATACATTACAAATTAAGATGGAGTGAGTCTTCCTCAATCTTCTGAAGGGTGTCAGCCGTCACTGCAAACAAGAGAAGGCCTCTGTTCTTACAGGTCGCTTACACTGTACAATACAAAGCCCAGGCAAGGTTGCCACATATAAGCCAACCCGTGATCTTCCCAGTTTCCATTTATGATAATCCCTCTAGTGGGTGTTGGGGGCAAAGTATTTCCTTCTTAGCAGTGCTACATGGTGATGCTCTCTTTCCTCTCTCCCTCCCTCTTTCTCTCCCTCCTCCTGTCCCTCTCAGCTGGAGCTACTGGACCTATCAGTAAGTTTGTGGGACCTATCGTAAGTTTGCTGTTCAACTGAAAAACTGTAATTTCTTAAAGTACCTTAGGTTTCCATGTAGAAATTTCAAAGGCTAATGTTCACCTTTTCCTGGTCTTTTGGTTTTTCTCTGCCTGGCATTTCAGTAGGTCATTAGTGATTTGTGAATGTAAATTTCACTCATAAATATAACACTGAAGTCCAGGCTAAACCCTTATAGGTGACTTCCAATGACTTGCTGACATCACACAAGGGACTTTAAAAGAAAAAACAGTGGGATGAAAAGTGAAATAATGGGAGAAAACAAAATTATAAAGTTTAAATGAAAAAACATTTCTCTAATCCTCTACAGAGATTTAAATGAACCAAAGAGCTGACTTCTACTTAGTGCCTTTGGTGTACTACTTAGTACTTTGTGTTTCTACTACAACCTACTTTGCTACCTATCTGTTCAGTGAATGTGTGAGATGGAAAAGCCTCTGTGTGTGTGTGTTTGCCATAGCATTCCCAGTAAAAACATCAACTACCCAACTGCAGCTGACCTTGAGTTTAGTGGTGTACACTCTTAATAGGGAAAACATGAATGAAAACTATGGCCACTAAACCTGAAAACATGTATTGATTTGTTTCACTTTTTTTTTTCCAGAGCTCTCTCAAAAAACCATTGGTAAGTCATCTAAGTCTCAATTATAATGGCTTTTGGTCCTTTTCAGAATGTCATCTATTTCATTTCAATGATTTATGCCCACAGATGGAAAGACCAAGTGCTTCCGCTGCCTCATTATCCCACCCAGAACTCCCATAGGTTGGAGTCACCCAGGTGCTACAACAAACAGATAATAACTATGAAGCTGAAATACAAAATGAAAAAATAATCCCCTACAGGCATGGTCCTTCCTGAGCTATTCCCATTTAGTTTTTCAGAGCCAATAATTAATAAAGATTTAGAATACTGCACCTAAACTTGATTTATGTGCAAATATTTTTTTCACTACTAGATTATCTTTACTTTGTAAAATAATGCAAATTTTAAGTGTCTTTTCATTTGTAATTTTTCTAAAAAGTTTTCTCCTTAACAGGTAGGTTTTATTCTCACCAACTTTTAATAACTTGCCCTACTACATTTTTCCATAGAAATGTTATAAATAATGGTTAGACTGCAAATTGCAGTTGTTCATAATTATTTTGTTGGATCTACCCAATATTCCAATACTGAGGGAAGACAGGTGTATACTCTAAATACACTCATATTTAGAGTAATGAACAATGAAGTTGGGATTGAAGTTTTACTGTTAGTTTTGTCCGCTATCACTTTTGAGCATTACAGTGAGCTAGTAACAGTGAATAGAATAATGTTGGAATTCAAAAAGGAAAAAAGGCCTAGGGGGGTTGGGGATATAACTCAGTGGCACAGCACCTGCCTGGCAAGCATAAGGTCCTGAGTTTGATTTCTGGCACCAAAAAAAAAAAAAAGAAAAAAACAAAAAGGCCTAAGGGAAAAAAAGTAAGAGAAAAGCAACACGAAATGTAAGACAGAAAATGAAGATGCTGGTTAAAGCGAGAAAACACGAAGGAAATAAAAAATTAAAAATGAGTCAGATGTGGTTAACCATGCCTGTAATTCCACCACTCTGGGAAGCTGAAGCAGGAAGATCACAAGCTTGAGTCCAGCCTGGGCATTTTAGCAACTTAGTTAAACCCTGTTTCAAAATTTAAAAGAAAAAAAAAAAAATTAAAAGGGCTGGGAATGTAGCTCAGTGCAAAGGCCCTAGGTTCAATCCCCAATACCACAGCGGGCTTGGTGGGGTGGCTGGAAGAAGAAGAATCACATGGATTGGCAAACAGGAGGAGAAAAAATAAAGGAAGAGTAAATGAATATAAACCTGAGAAAAATAATTAAGAAAAAGTGTACAAAAAGTCACACATTCAGAACGGAAAGGGAAGAAGAAAATATAGGAAATGTAAGAAAACCGGAAAAAAACAACTTGAAGTCCAAAGCTACTGACTTATATTGAGAGGGCAGCTACCTAAGAGCTCAAGGGCATATATTTATAGATAATATTTGTAGATAAAGCCAAAACAAATATTATTTTGCAAAAGAGCTAAATTTCTACCTTGGCTACTGCTCTTAGCCCAATATACGCAGATCTGGAAAAACACTTTCTGGCTGTTTTACACAGGAAAAAAAATTGCCATTGAAGGTTTAAGGGTTATGCATCAGATCTGGTGGAGTTTCCATCTTGAGCTCCTTGACTGAAGGGCTGAGGAAAAGAAAGACACTGCAGTGCTCCTGGGTCGAGGGTCTTTTTACATTAACCTGATCGTGCAGACTCAAGATTATCATAGTCCTCCTCAGGAACTAGTCTACTAAGTAGGACCAAATGTAGGAGGAAGCACGGACTGCCAGTGGGGCAGCACCAACCAAACTCCTGGGAGAACGGTCCTCACAGTGATCTAGGCAGGCACCCACACAGCCATATAGAACCATTCTCTTTAGCTAGCCATCAGTGAGCTGCCCTGGCTGAGAAGCCCCACCAATCCCTCAAGAGCCAAGACCCCCCATTAGAACTCCATATGCATAACCTGTAAGGATCCCATAAGGGATATGCCCTGTTGTATGTCCTGTCACTACACTGCAAGAAGCTAAAATTATGGCTCAATGGATACTTCCAGTTCTCCCAGTTTGGAAGAAGTTTATCCATCAAGGATGATTCTCACCTAACCAATGTTGCTAGGTAACATAACAGGAATAGGCTTCCAATCTTTATCAAGTAACCAGAGAGATCAGGGCCAGAAAATCTACCGGAGGTCAAATTCACATTAAAAACTAGGGTTTTGTTGATTTTTTTGCTCACAGAACGTAAAACTAATCAAAACAGTAGCCACCACTGTTAGTCCCTAAAAAGCTAGAAGCCGTAGAAGGAACTGAATTCTCACCACCTACCCTCATGCCTACCCCCGCACCATGCTTGTTGATGAGAAACAAAGATTTCAGCATAAGGATAGATTCTAGAGAAACTAATGTTCTCTGTTCCTAACCAGAACAGAAAATGCAGTTTTATCTTCCTCTAATGTCTCCTATGCTGATAAGAATCCCACAAAATTCTCTCTAATGATCTCAATTTTCTCTAAAGTTCTTGCTAATGATCTCAGACATGACTTCACTTCCTCTCCCCTATTTTACCTCTCAAAGCCCCACTCATAGAATAAAAATAATTTTTAAAATGTTCTTAAATACAATAACCACACTAATATGCCAATATGGATTTCTTTTTAGTGCAAACTCCAGGGCCTATTGGTAAGTTGCCTATATTTATACATAATAGCTTATCTCTAGTGGCTTCCTACTATGCCTAAAGGATTTAAACTCCAACTGTTTACATTTCTGGGTTAAAGAGACTGAAAATCATGTTTCACAGCCTTTCGTTTCCTTATATACTATCTCCCTAAATAACCAATCATATTTTAAAAATAGAAATCTCATTACCTTAAGACTCATAATAGGTCTGATTTTTCTCTAAAAATAATTATAATGATGTGTCAATAATCATTTAAAAGCTTCCAAAGCAAAGATGAAATGGAATCTGGGGAGGATGTAAGAAATGAGCAAGACAGCAGAACAGAGATGGCTGAGAGGAAGGAAGTAAAGCAATGTGAGGGGGAAAGGGATGAAGGAAGACGGGGAAAGCAGTACCATTAGCAACTACACCTCCAACACCTATCAGAAACAGCAAGAATGCAGTGATTATCTTTCCTTCTAACTAAACCAAGGTTACACATCTCCTATGGGAAGATTTGGTTCTTGCAAAGAGGCTAGATACAGCAGCTATGCGGTAAAAAATTAACTCTAAATATTCTAATTTAATTGAGATTGCTTTGCATTAAACAACCACATTTGTTTCTACTTTTAGTACAATATATGGGACAGAGAGGTAAGTTCTTTGTCTAGTTTTTTGTATTTGGTATTCCCTGATCTTCTGTTTAGAATGCCTACTCCCTATCCTAAATATGTCTATTGCTATAGCAATAACTATAGGGCTAGGAATATGACTTGGTGGTAGAGCACTGGCCTAGCATTCACAAGGTCTTGGTTTCAATTCTCATCATTGGGGGAAAAATTTTTTTTGGTTTTTAGACAGTTTCTACCTGAGAATCCTCCAACATTTTGGTTTTTGTTTTGTTTTGTTCTGTTCTGTTCTGTTTTAGAAAAAGTAAAAAAAAAATCTCCAAGTAATAGCCACAATAGTTCTATAATAATAATTTCAAAAGCACCAGAGAAAGAACGCTAAGTGGGTAGCCTTCTAGTTCTGAAGTGTTTTATAGTTTATAAAGGGCCTACATAGAGATAATGAAGACAACATAGAAAAACAATGAAAGACAATGTAGGAAAATGACTAAAGAATTTTAAAAATAAATACAAAAGGGAAAACAACAAAATTTAAAAGACTGAGATCTTGTCAATTTTCTGAGGCAAGGAATTCTACTCAAAGTCCAGTCAAGCCTGGGCTCCCTATTCTGCTTCTCCAAGACCTTTATCTTTCCTCAAGTCCTATTCGCCTTACCTTATCCTCTAGTCCCAGATATTCTTCACTTAAAAAACAGAAAGGCAGACAGACAAACAGACAGACAGACAGAGACACAGAGGAGAACACTTCAGAGAATATGATATTTCAGTAGCTACATCAAAGAGTCACAGACCACATATGCAAGAGAGTAAAAGGAAAGTTTGTGTGTGACTAGCTAGAGAAAAACCAGAGCCAAAATGTACCATATCAAAACAACCCCAGGACATGGGAAATTCTGAGTCTAGAAATTAGGTGACAGCAGTCCAAACTCTGTTTTGTTTTGTTTTGTTTTGTTTTGTTTTGTTTGATTTTTTTTTTCTTCCGGTATCAGGAATTGAACTCATGACGTGGCACTTGCCAGGCAGGCACCGTGCTGCTGAGCTAAATTCTCAGCCCCAGTAATCCAAACTCTGAGCCAAGCCAAGAAGAAATTACCAGAAGGCAAACCAGTTGTATTCAAATAAACATCCCTTCACCTAGCTGACTCCTCCTACTAGATAGCAAGTAGTAAGCTGGGCACTGATGATAAAGTCATGAATAAGAGAGAAAGAGCCGGCTGGTGCTCTTGGGGAACACAGCCCTCTAAGATACCATGGGATACTAAGTGCGGAGACAACAGGCAGCCTCCCATACAATCATGACCACTATCACCACTAAAATGGGATTTTTCTTGCCCTAAATTCTGATTCTAAATGTTTTTATCAATGAATAAAAGTCACCACTAATTGACTACTCCCCTGAATCATGGCTGCCTCTTCCAGTATCTTTTTAATTACCCTCAAAACATACACCCTCGGAAGTTCTCATAATTCTTATGGGGGCCAGAAATCTAAGCCAGGGCACCTCAAAGGATCTCACTAGAGCTACGGGAAGGTTCCTATGCAGCCCAAAGTCCCCTACGAGGTACCATGTACCAAGAATCTATATGTGTAGATGGACTGATTGTCCCTTTATTCTCCTCAGATTGACTACGTATCACCTATCTAGAAACACTGGAAGTATAGTGATGTATAGTGCTATTTTTATTCCTTCCAGCTTTCCTATAAATTGGTGGTGGTTAAGAGAAAGTGAAAAATATACTGATTAAAATTAAGACTTTAACAAAAATTAGTGGCTCTGACCAAGCCTAGTAAAGAGGAGTGGAGAAAATACTTTTCAAACCAATTAAAAGGTCAGGTAAGAGAAAGTTTAAAGATGAGAATGATGTAAGTACTCCAAAGTACAAGTTTCAGACATTATGAACCTCTACAAGTATTTCATGTATTTACCAGTCCTGAATGAAAGGAGCAGGATGAACAAAGTCTCACTTTATCATTTAATAATCATACTCCTGCCCCAAACTAGAAGGCGGCCTGAGGTTACAGAGAAGGGCTCTAAAGCCCAGGCACTACACGGAGATAACAGGCAGGTTTCAGAGCCTCCTGCATCTTCTCCATAGTTACCCTTTTTCAGGACTAGCATGAGATAACAGAGTTCTCTTGGTTCGATAAACACTGACTTCTTTTTTCCACTTCTGTTTTTCTACCAGCTCCAACTTCAGAAACGACCTGTAAGTCCTATTCCTGTTCTCATATGATGGTCGTCTTTGGCTTCCTACAGGGTGTGCGATCCTTTCCCTTTCTCCTTGTTTCTATCTTGTAGAAACACATGGTCCTCCAACTCTTGATTTTATTTCACTATCTAGTTGGTGTCACTAGAAGGAACGAATAAAGAATGTAAATCCCAATGATCACCCAAAAGTAGATGAAATGAAACTACCCAAAGTTTATAGTAATTTATCACCAAGTGGGGAAGGACATTTGTATTTAATGAAAGCTCGCACAGGTTGGTAGAAATAGGGAAAAGACAACCAGCACAATTTAAAGAAAATACCAGTCCTCTTCAGGATTTCAAGGAATTATCAGTCACTGCAAAAAAGGAAGCAATAAATCATCTCCTTTGCTGGGAGAATAAACAGAAAATTGAAAACACACAAACACACACACA